GCTTTGTTTTTTTTCAGTCTCACGGATTTTTTACCTATCTTCTGAGGTGTCCATTTCATAACGATTTTAGAAATTTGTTCGTCCGTAATCAGTTGTCTTCTTAGAATTTCGCCTATTACTATTTTCTCTACTTGATTTTTTTATTCTTTCATTTGAGATTCTATCCATTCTTGATTTTCCTGCAGATCTTCTCCAAGAGTCCGAAGTCGCCTGGACAATTTAAATTATCATACATTTTTTGGGTCTTTGAACATCGCTATTTGTTGGCAATGTTTCGTTCATCAATATTTTCCGATCAGAAAACATGTACTTGATTCGATATTTCGCCCCGATTTTGGGATATTTAAAATTAAAACATCTGGTGATTTTTGGAACTTAGTAACTAAAATTTGATCCCTAATATTGCTGTAAATTCGCGTTTTTAAATGAAGCTATGGACCAAGTTTGTTTACTGTTTAATGTTATGTTATCGATGTTTGTTAAGTTTTGTTTCATTGAAAATTTGAACAGAATATTTCTCTTATTTAGAGATAAAATTTGATTTGCCTCATCGAAAAAATCACTAAATCTAAAAATCCCCAAACACAATTTTTTTAGTAACCGCAAACGGAAAGTTTTGAAAATTTGAAATGGCGTGAAAAAATTCTAATCGCGTAACTGTTTGTTGCAAAATATTTCCAACAATTTCTGCTTACAAAATTATAAATTTGTTAACGAAATTATTAAAGAGTGCAACAGACGAAACGAAAACGAAAAGAAAATTAGCGAACGAATATCAATAATTTATGGGCCTATTAAAGTTTGAAACTTAATTAAGGAATATAATTTTTTAAAGTGTGCGTTATCAAAAATATCAATAAATTCGAAATCGACACTCAAAATCAGAGCATTTTAAATTCTTCGAAAAGCTCAATTCCAAAATTGTGCGTTTAACTTCGAAATATTTACAATTTGTTTCAACACTACGCATTTAAAAAAAGTTTAAATTTGAAATTAAATAAGTTTTACTCTCACACTCTTAATCACGCAAGTCTGCTGAATTATTTTTCGTGTTCGATTGAATATTCGTCGTGAAATACGAATCGTAATACGAAAAACACACAAATGAAAGAATAAAATGTGTTGGTTGCCTTCAAACGTTTCACCATCAAACTGCAAAGCGTTAAAAGTCCAAAATATGCCTCAACATTGTGCTCTTCTATCCAAATCTAACTGTATTGTTTTTTTATTTTTTTGTATTGTTACTATTTTTTTAAACTTTTTGATCCTGCTCTTTTGCAAAGAATTGTCGAAAAAATCGTATTTATCATGTGATCAAATTGCGTTGATTCTATGTATTGTTACATCCAAAAACAGAATTATTGCTTTTGAATTAGTTTTGAATTTTGAAATGCGCCGATTGGAAAGCAGGCAAAGAGGCATTAATAACAGCACTTTCTGAATGATTTACTACAAAATCCCGAATTTCGGGCTTAACTATTAAGTACATTGATATTATTACATAATTAATATCATAATTTAATATATAAAATATGTATTGATCTGAGATGCTAAATTAATTTGTTTTTGATTATTCAGAGTAAAGTGTTTTACGATTCCGAACTCAGATTCAAATTAGTTCAGCAAATTCAGTTTTAATGATATTTATTTTGAATAATTGTACTCGTATTTTTAAAATTGAATATGGTAAATACAGAAAATTACTCATTCCTTGTTAAGGAAAATGCTATTAAGAAATATAACACTTACCTCAATTTTTCAGTTATTTTTTTGCAAAAAATCGCTCCATTCTTTGGAAAAAAATTTGAAAGACATCCGGACCCTTTGATCAAAGATAAAAAAAAATCCTGAAGTTTATATTAGTTTAGATTACACAATAATATTGATAACTATCGCGTTAACTTTAAAGTAAAATCACACTAGAAAACATGAAACTATTTCAATTAAACATCAACTTGTAATGGAACAGACATTAGTAAGGATGATACAAAATAAATGCTTAGAATTCCTAATCTCCTGTTACTTGAATGACTATATACAGAAGGCACAACATTAATAGTTTTTCATATTTTCATTATCACAAACAGAATAGAAAACCATTTTTGGAGTAGTCAGCCTGCATATTTATTTAAAAGGTTCAAGAACTGATGCTGATAAACATACATGCAGTATCAAACGATTTCTCAGACCACTTATCTAAATAACCAAGTTACATTTAAGGTCTATTTAAATTTCAGGTGGTCCTATTGGTAGTGCACTTGTAGACAAATACGGTTGTAAAAAAATGACCATTGTTGGCGCCCTCATATCAACAGTGGGCTTCATCCTCAGTACTTTTGCCAAAAATATTGTCGTCATGTACATAACTTTTGGGTTCCTGGGCGGTATTGGTCTAGCGCTATGCTATGTCACCGCTGTAGTGGCCATAGCGTTTTGGTTCGATAAATATCGAACCTTAGCTTTGGGTCTGGCGGCAGCAGGCTGTGGTTTTGGTACCGTGATATATTCACCCCTAATCACTATGTTGTCCATGGAATATGGATGGAGAGGAACCGTACTTATTCTAGCTGGATTGTTTGCCAATATGGTCGTGTGCGGATTATTGCAGAGGGATCCTGAATGGATCATTAAGCAAGAAAGAGACAGGTACTTACTAGATACTGTTCCATCTAATTAAGTGAAGTTATTTAGCAGATTTAATCAGAAATGTTTCATCTTCATTACCATGCCCCTTGTAGATATTTGGGTCTGCAAAAATATGTATCGCTTTCCTTAATTCTACTAGCTGTAATATCGTTCAGGAAGATTTTTGCTTAGGAGAAAACTCGTCAAAATATTTATTTTGTCGTTCCCAATTTTTCAGTCAGCCAGAATTTAACAATAATAGTTGTCATTCTAAGGGCATTTCGTAAATTTTGTTTTATGTTCATACATTTCTTTTAGTTTTTTTGATGGATTATTAATAACGGGAAACATGTGTTATTTTTTTAGTTAAAATATTCTCAAATATTTGATTCAACTTACTTTAGAATCACAATTCAAACATTTATTTATTTTTATTTGGACACTTTTTCTTTTCCTTCTTGATTGTGATTTCATACCCTTCGCCCACAAGTAAATTTCTATTTCCACCTTCATTTAGTAATTATAAACATAATATATTTTATGAAACGTTTAACTTGTTTTCAAATTTCCATTTAATACTTCGCTTCCGAATTTTCCGAACAGAAATTTAAGTCACAAAAGAATTTCAATGTGGTTTTTAAGAGAGCGATTAATGTTAATATAAGTGCGACTTTACTCATTTGTAAACAAAACTGTAAATATTTGGAGAAAATGTCGCATTCATAATCAATGTATGGCAAAGTTTCTTAAAAATTGTGAGTGAATCTAGGATTTTCAAGAGTTAGTTAGCAACATTTTGAATAAGAGTTTGCTTGTAAACTCTAGAATCCACAACTACAAGTAGAAAGATCAATTCTGAAGTGAAAAGTGAAGTAAAACCCTTTTTAAAACTACTGTTTCCTTCATAGTTCTTGAACGGTCATCAATTTAACTTTTTCTGAAACAAATTATTTTTTCAGAAGATACGCGGTATCCGCTGTTATTGCTATTAATAAAACTTGGTCATTGTTTCCAACTTCAACATGTTTTCTGAAGTAGCTTTCTTTTAAAATTTTCGAATTTTTAATAGCACTTTCTCTATACTTAATTGAAAAACTATAATTTTCTACTTGACTTAATTAACACTGTAAGTCAAAAACCTATTAAAATACTATTTAAGTAAAGAAGCTGAAAAAAATTTAAAAGAGTTGAAACTTATATTCCGAATTTTAGTAATGTAGGATAAAGATAAAAAAATAAGAATTTGTCTGATTTTTAGTAGTCTACTCAATTAATTTTTTGTAAAATAAATAATTTGATCAGATTTCCATTGTCTTTTAAATCTCATATTGATTCGCTTGCTTTATCTTCAATAATTTACAAGTATAAATTTTTAGTAATAAATCGTTATCTTCAATAAAGCGATAACATTGGTATTTTTGAATAGATTTTTTAAAATTAATAAATTGTCATCGGGTTACTTATTTTCAGTTTTTTGCCATCATCATATTTTTAGTATTAGTAATTCATTCAATGTGATTAAATGTCTTCAAATGTTATCTTATTTGGTTCATGCTTGCATTGTTTAAATAAAACTTAGTAATTTCCATTGGCTTTGACTAAGAATAGTCAATTTGCATGCAATATAGAAAACATGTCATCGTATGTAAATTCATCTGTACAATAAGATCTAGGTAATGACCAATGTAATTTAAAGATCAATCCAGATTTTCGACTAAATATTGCCATGAAACATATTGGTAAGTTTTCTGCAAAATGAGTAAATATTCGATCAAACTGAAAATTTTCTTAATTTAAAATTACGTTTATTCCTATTATAAATAACATATACGGCTTTGTGAAATATATGCCTTATTTTAACTCAATTTTCTACGATTATATGAAAATATCCTCTTCAGATTGGCAGCAGAGAAAAAAGAAAAAGAAAAAAAGCAACTGAAAAAGAGAAAAGCAATAAGTGATGATAAATATGTTATGGATAAAGTCACTACTTCTGTGGATGCAAAGCAGAAAGACCGGTTCCATTCAGTTGTAGATTTGCCCACATACATCGGCAACCAAAAAGAGGTAAATTGAGTATATTTTGTATTTGAAAAATATACTTTAAAGAACAATCTGTTTCACTTATTTCAAGTGTTCTATTAATACTCGTACTCGTAACTTGACTAACTAACCTTCTGTATTCAGAAAATCTTTAATACTTTTTAAAATCACATCAAATATTTACTTTGGAGAAAAATTTGCTACCGCTTACTCTTGTGCGAATTACATTGTGATATATTCACAATACTTTTTCTTATCGACATTATCAAGTACTTTAGAGTGTATCGCTTGATCGACATTATACAGACTATAATGATCGGATTTTTTGCGTTCAAGTGCCCACAGCCTGATATAATTTTCCAGATTCCACTTGAAGTTCTCAAGAATTTAAGCAATGATAAGCACAAGTACAAAATTATTTTGGAAAACTACCCCAACTTGCTCTCTAGCAAAAGTCACTCGGATACCGGTCCGGACAAATTAGCGGCCGAAGCTTCAATGGTTAATACAAGAGTCCCTGTTAAATATTCCATGAAAGGTAATTTATTGGCGGTAAACTGACCGCAAAGTTTATATCATGTATAGTATCATGCCTGCAATTTTTTTATTTAATTGCAGTCACTCCTAAAGATGATGACGAAAACGCGAGTCAAGCTCTTGTTCCATTAAATAAGAGCGCTTTAACCAAACACCATTCAAATGAGCATTTACAGCATGGTTATATGGCAAATATGAAGCCAAAGAGACAGTCTGTAGATAAAGAGCTATTGAATATGCATCAATATAAAATAACCTCTAGTTGTCCTGAAGATGTTTGGAAAAGTCATGTTAAGCTAGATAGTTCTAAGAGACGACTATCTGACTTGCCTCAAGAAAAAAGCGAAAAAGAAAAGGTGGGAAGTTGAAAACTGCATAATAAAGAAGCACGCAAATTAGACCAATTTTCAGAAATGGCATAATACTTTTATGGAAGCTTTCGGAGATCTGATTGATTTCTCTTTGTTTCTTCAACTTCATTTCTTCCTCGTTAGTATAGCGACTATTTTAATGTGCATTTGGTTTGCCGTGCCCTTCGTTTACTTGGCAGATCACATGGATGCGAAAAATTACGATAAATTTCAGCAGTCTTTAGCTATTTCGGTACTTGGAGCTGCTAATATTGTAGGCATGGTAAGGCACATTCTCATGTTTTATTGCAGAGTATTTTACACACACACACACCTTATTAAGGTTTGGCTTGGGGTCTTAAAGTCTTAAAAAATAAAGCTTTATTGTTACTTGCAGTAGTTACACATATAAATAGATGTAGATAAGATTAGTCGTAATGGATTTTTGTGTTTAAATCCCGATTTCTTCTTTAAGCCACGTTTGGGTTCGGGTTTCCAGATAATTCATAAAATTTTCCCTGCAATAAATTTTATGTTTTCAAACAGTTTGAAACCTAATTCAATGGAGTAATTTTTTTCACAAGCAGAATGTTTTAGGTTTTTATTGGGTTCTTAGGAACCAGAATGAAAGTGGCCACTCTTTACGCAATTTGTCTGTTTCTTTCTGGAGCATGTTGCGCTGCCATGATGCTGTTTTCAAACAACTACTATGTTCTTTTGACCTGCTGCGCTGCTTTTGGGCTGTTTTATGCGTGTCAGCACTCTTTAACGCCAGCTCTTGTAGCGATATTGGTTCCGCTCGACAAATTTAGCATGGCTTATGGGCTCAGTTTGCTCTGCCAAGGTATTGGGAAGCTGACCGGACCACCTTTAGCTGGTAAGTTTTGCAGTTAAGACTTGCCTAAATTGGAAATTGTTGCTTATTTCGGTATATTTCCTTCCAACGGTTCTATACATTTGCATTTCACTAGTAGTAATTCTTTAGTATGAATTTGCAATGTACTTTTTTAGGAATGTTATTTGATATCACGCAATCCTACGCCCAATCGTTTTACCAAGCAGCCTTTTGGATAGTAATTTCCGGAGTTCTGATAGGCATTATTCCATATACCAAAGATAAAAAACTGTTCGCTCGATGACAAGCCTAAGTACAAAAAATTGAGCTAAATTATACATCTACATTATGTTTACTGTTTAAACTGTAGGTAGGTATGTTATTTATTTGAACGAATGTACTTTGATTGTTATATATTGTGTTATATGCAAAGTTGCCGAAAATATAAGGTATTTATTATGTTCTCAGATAACGTTTTGATTTTTTTAACTATCGGTTCGTAAAACGTTCCAAAAATTACAATTGTATTTCACGTTTGTGTAACACATAAATGGAGTTTTCCTTGCAAATTATGAAATTTCAAATAGTTGCTAGGAAATGGGGAAAGCGGCGAATCAACTTTTAGAACGACTTTAGAGTGGCTTTAAGACTCCAAAATCTCTTCAGAGAACGAAGCCACGTCCACGTGCTTTAGAGCGCTTCAGGGGTTTATATACAGAAACATATTTTCTTGAACTTTTTCCATTTAAGAATAAAAATATTCCTGAGTACTTTACTTTGAGCGTTTACTTTGTCTTTTTGGAAAATAGTTCTCATGATAACTTAAATTTTAGATATTGGCTAATTATCTTAGGTACTTAATTTAAGGTGTTAAAACATACAAACATCTGATCACCATCGCATCAGCCTTTGGGGAAAATGCTAGAGAAACGTCGATTGAATATTCAGATCATTAAAATTTCACGTAACAGCTTGAATATAATTTTTGCACGATCTTTAGTAGATAATGAAATTTTCCAGTTTTTCGATGTCAGCAGTGAACTTTTTGATGAATATGTAGGTACTTATACGAATGTGGAAATAAACACAGCTGTGCATATAATATACTTAAAAATGCAGATTTCCTAAATATTTGGCCTTGGTACTTTTCAATTACTAATTCTAAGGTGAACATGTTTTAGGGCCAAATATCTGTGCTGGAAAATGAAATTTTATGTTCATCAATTCTGATTAAAATATTAAAAACACTTAATAACAAACAAACTCTCTCGATCAACGTACTTCATCACACAACACAAATTCCACTACTTAACTTTTAGATTTAATGCCGTGTAGTTGCATAATCTAACTTTCAGATCGAACAAAGAGGAACGAGAATATTAGAAACTAGCTAATATGTTTCTAAAATGGTTTCATTACTTAAACATAATTTATTTTGGTCCTAAAATGTTCCAAATCAAAGGTGTTTTCAGAATGAATTTCTGAAATTAGTCCGCTGCAAAACAATATTTTTTATTTTATTTCAATTCCTGGTGTTCTTCTTTTAAACTGTTGCTTAACAGAATTCGTACATTAACTGTGGGTTCTCTCTGGGGAAAAGATAAGACTCTAGACACTTTCATAATACTTTATTGTGTAAGCCATATCACTTTTGTGCAATATTTGTAAACACGAATACGTAAATCAATTAAAAATCTACTTTGGCAAAACTTTTTTCTAATACTTAAAAATTTCTGAAATCTACTAATAATTCTTAAAACATGCTGACAAAAGGCAATCTGGAAACTAATTAAAAGCAATGTTGAGTCGACTACATTTGCAAATAATTATATAAATTAACTTTAAAGAAAACTTCTGTAATTTAAGATAAAATACTTGCTCGCGGTATTAGACTGATGGCAGTCAAATATAAAACAAACACAGTTAATAAGATCGTTAATACAAGTATCAATACTATAGGTATCACTCGATTCTCAGACTCTTCGACTACTTTTTCCACTGGTCCCTTTCCAATAATTTTTTTGTTCTTGCAGTAGGGAACTAGACCGACCAATAGACCGGACAGTATTGTCCATGCTCCAGCTTGATAAAACGACTGCTCCCAACTTCCAGTCAAATCAAAAAGTACTCCTAAAATTTTTCAGTGTTAAATTGTTCCGCGAGAAATTTTTTATATCAATATTTACCTGCATAAGGAGGACCGGAGAGAATTCCGATTCCCATGCACAAAAGCTGAAGTCCATAAGCGACAGTAAATCGTTCCAACGGCACAAGTTCCACCAATATTCCAGGTGTGAATGAAAAACTGCTGGATAAAAATGTGCCAAATAATGCTGCACATATTTCCAGCATTAAATAATTATTTATAAAGAACATCATTCCCGCTATGGATATTCCGCACAATGCTAAACACACAGCGTAGGTTTTCGTCATGTTCATCCAGGGCCTATCACCCGCCCATCCCAGGAAAATCTAAAAAGTTAAAATTTGTTAACAGTTAATTTCCTTATAATTGCATCTCTAGTAAATTTATGGATATGATATATTGGAATATGGCGGTTTCGGATTAAGATTTCAAGTATATTATAATTTAAATCATACGAAATTTAGTGCAAATTTAAAATACATATATAGATTGTAGCTTGCAAAAAAATCCATCAGCATTTGTAAAAAATTCTGCTTATGATTAAACATTTTCAGGATTGTTTTTGCAAGAAAAAAATTATCCCAACCGGAAAAAGTGATTCGCTATTCGGATAGGATGGGACAACCCATAGGCAGATTTGCCAGTTTCCAAGTAAATTAAATAAAAATATGAGGAAATTTCTATTCATGCCATAAATGTGTATCTACAATACTGGAAAGTGGATGGCTTTTTGTTATGAAAGAGGTTAAAAAGAACCATTATCTTTTCATAAACCTTGTGCCCAAGATTCTAATCATAGAATAAAATATTATACGGCTTTTTGAAAATGTTCAAACGAATATTTTCGGATAATTAAATTAATTTTTAAATTAATTGTCATAATTATTCTGGATTTTATTTGTATTTAATCCAGTTACTAATGTTCTATTATTTCTTGAATTATTGCCCTTTTTGTTATAACTTTTTGCATGGTTTGTTATCACGAATTCCATTTCGAAAGCACTGGCAGGTTTTCATAAGACTTTTGCTTCAAAAAAGTTATACTATACCGGGCGATTTATTAAATGTGGTCGCCACTTATATCTCGGAAATTATCGGACATAAATTTTACATAAGCAAACCACATTTAAACAATTAATTTTCTTCAGTTAAGCAGTTTTTATATCAGATTTTTTCACTGCGGGATTATCGAATCGAAAATTTACAGTGTAAATGCTGGTGCAATTCTGTTTTATTTTTGCTCGAACACATTTACATCCCGACATTGGCAGCTACTAAAAGTAAAATTTCAGAACTAATTTCGGCCACTTTTAAACTCTCTAACGCACAATTGCATCGCTGGATTCAGATTTATTGACGAAAGAATTTAGTTTTAACATGGTTTAAAGAAACGATTGCTTTCATTATCATCTTTAGCAGGCTAGAAACACAATTTTAAAACTTTCCGGTTTGGTTCTTCACTCTTTCCAAAATCTTAGTGCAGAATCTCAAAAAAAAATTGTCGGAGAATCAAAATATTTTAAATCTAAAAATCTTATAACGCAAGAATTAACAATTATAATTATAAATACAAACATTTTGGACAAACTAAAATTAGAATGGTCATAATAGTCTTTATTCTTATGACAGTATGACTTATACATCAGTATTAAACTGAATGCATAAAAATGCTACTATTTTCTTACAAATGAACTTCAGTTCACCAAAATCTAGTTAGTCGTCCATGAAAGTTCGATACCTCTGTCGAAATTTAAACTCAAATTTAGATATCTTCACCTTGTAAACTTATTATTTAATTTTTTCTCCTGCACTTTTATTTAGTTGTAGTGCATCGAAGTACTTACCGAGAATCATTGAATTAAAGGCAAAAAAACCGTAATTTACATAGAACCATTGTTCTAGAAAAAGAGGGTATTAAAAACTAGTTATACGTACCATTCCGATCGTATTAGCAATACCAATATTTGATAAAGTGAACGAAGCTTGTTTGGTGGTGTACTGATGAGCAAGCATGAGTTCAGCCAGGTAAAAATATGGCACTATAAACCAAACAAAAAGGATTATAGTCGACAGTGACAGCAAGAAAAAATGCAGCTCTAAGAATAAAGAATAGTCGAACATGCCCTTCACCAAATCAACTATTTCGGTGTACCATTTCTAAAAGGAGTCAAATGTTTTTTTATGCACAAAATATTCAGTTGTAAGCGTTACGCAAATCTTAAACTGCTTCCATATAGTTTGCTTTATTCATTCACTTCATTGTATTATTTATTTAGGGTTTTTTCTTATTATAAATAAGCAGTTTAAGGTTTCCTTAATACCACTTACATCTTCGTGTGGTTTCGGCAGTGACATCATCGATACCCTGTAAATATTAGGACAACTAGACGCTTTGAACCTATATTTGTTCATGTTGAAAATAGCCCCTCTATGAATGAGGGATTGCCTGTGAACTTTTAAGTTTTTGAAATAGCTTTCATGCCTAGCACCGGCCCACTGTGTCCTGAATCTTGGAAAAGAAGCGTTTGCTGGAATTTTAGGCCGATTGTTTGCCATCAGTGGCTCATTCACAGCTAAATCGTTGTTTTCAGGAAGCGAAGCCTAAAAAATACAGTAACACCATATCATACCCACTTACTACCTCAGTGTCGTGGTTTGGTAAGGTAAAATATATGTTTAAAAATATGAACCATTACCTGATGTACTGGAGGTGATCGGGATCTCTCCATTGGTTCCGCAATGCTAACTTTAGGAGTCGCATTCTTTTTCAGCTTCATATTAAATGTAATTGGTACTCTATCAGTAGGCTCATTTTTTATATTATCAAGCGTATTATCGAGGGAAGAACTTCGACTCAAAAGCAAACTGGGGTAATTATGTACTATCACATTGTACAGTTTCTTATTCCTGCTGAGTAACTCTAGAACTTCGATAGGCACCTGCAAAATAAACATCAGCATTAAAACACCCTGCAATCGCGGTTTTAATAAAACATGCCTTCTCATTTTGCTTGACGAAAGTGGGAAGATTTAAGGCTGATGAAAAGTACTTTTTCAGCTTTTCTTTATCTTCGCTGTTATCCACTGATGTTTCCAAGTCTTGTAAAAGGATCTGGGCATTTCTTCCACTTGTTAGAAGGTGTTTTAATTCGGCAATATCGATAGCTGTCGATGGATTGGCCGACGATACTGACACCAAGCTGGTTTTGCTAGATTTTTCTGATTTGTTCAACTTGGTTTTCGAATTTTTTCTGAAAAATCAATCAGAGTGATTAAGGAGTGAGTAAACGGAAGAACGGAACAACTTAATTTACTTTCACCAGAGATTAAATTAGACAAAAGTTACAAGAGAAACTCTGCGAAATTACATTTCCTGATAGTTCTGGAATCATTTTTTTCCGTGTCGCATCCAGACAGGATCTGATGATAAGAATGTTATCGTATGTTATCGCCTGTAAAATGTATTCCAATTTGCGATAAGAATTTCCCGTTATAGTCTGTCATAACGCATTTAACGTTAATAAAAGCGCCAAAAACTCAAACTCATATGGTCACCAGTAGCTAATTTAAAGATGACTATTGAAATAGCATTTTGTAGTACATTGTAATAAACGATAATTAATACAAATTGTTTCATATTAAGGTCGTAGAGAAGCTAAAAGCTGCTAAACAAATGCAGCAATGTAATACATACGCGATAGCTAATTGCAGAGCGAGAGATTAATTGGAAATATTCAAATTAATATAATCATCAATCATCATTAATTTAGCATTTAACAGCTGACTAGGCTTAATATTTGTGCGTTCTTTTCTAGCTACTGTTTGTTTAATCGTAGACATTTTTTTCTGAAATGCAATTTTCTTGATCGGTTTCTTTCTGAACGATTATTTTTAGGACTGCTATGCGTTTTCATAATAAAGCTAACAGGATAAGGAAATTATTAAAAGATGCGTGTTGCGTGCTGAACCCACTTCTGAACTAACACAATAATCAGTGAATTCCTCATTATTTGTAATTTAATTATACTTGACCAAATAATCACGTTATTATGAGGTTTGTTTGTTTAAATATCATTTTGCCAAAATCTTTGTTTTTGCTTGGAAAGATTAATATCCGATTTACTGGCAATGCCCCAGACCAAAAAACCTTTTGCGTGAAATAACGATATTTACATTGAATTTCAATATTCTGAACACCTTACAGGGAGAAATAGCTGTTGAAAAGGTTAAAAATTTGAAACAATTTTATTTATGAAATAATTTGCAATCGACTGTAACAGAATTAATAGAAATTTTAATGCTTGCTTCTTTCTCATTGCTTGCTCGTCTAATGCCCGGTTTCCGAACTCCAACATATCGGTTACATAAGCTTGTGAGTCTCATAAACTATCAAAATCACGTCTGTTGGGTTTCTCAACGTCTGTTTAAAGCTTATTGGTTCCATAACTTATCGAATAGGTAGATATCTACTCGAAGATGGATGGATATCGGCTTCATAACGTCTGACGCAAGCGTGTAGGGTTTATTTTGATTTTTACAACAGAGCGATTCTAACCTAACATAACCTATTATTATTACATAACAGCATTGCATAACAGTTTTGTTTTGTTTAACGTATAAAAATTTATTATAATTATTTAAAATGGATAATTCGAGTTCATCTTCTGATGATGAAATTATTGRACTTCTAAGTKATATTGAACGGCCAAGACGGTATCCTGAACGAGAAGACCAAATGAACAAATATGGAGATTCTGAATTTCGCGACAGGTTTCGTTTAACGAAACAGTGTTTCAGTGTATTCTTGGACCTTATTGGGGACTACCTTAAAACATATACTGTGAGAAGGAATTCATTGTCCATTAGTGAACAGTTATGCGGAATTCAGATAAAACCCGAGAGCTTTTACATCAAATCTGTGGCGGTTTTTTGAAACATCTTCAAACCATATGTTTACCGACCGATCAAAATGCGTTTTTTTTTGTGGCGTCATCTAGCTTGCGATGCACAAAAGTGAAAGTTCTTTACTATCCGCTTCTTTTTTACCGGTATTTCGCACCTTCGGTACTACCAGTCAAAAATGGAACATACCCTATCAAACAGTTCCCTCTGTCGGTCGAATTAAAAAGGTACTTATCCAACGGATTGTTATGAGCTCGATATGACTTTGTCTGTCATCGTTCGGAAGCCCATAAAATCTTATCGGTCTTATAACTTTATCCACTACATAGTTATGGAACCAATAAGGGCAAATGTTGAGAAACCGGGCATAAATGTTCTCGAAGCAAATAGTTAATAGATAAAATAATTAAGTTAACAAATGACTCACCTGCTTTGTTCTATTATCCAGTCAGGATCTCGCATCAAAGCACCACAAACGCACATATTCAAGAAACATCCTGACAAAATCAACGTAGTGCCTCTCCATCCATACTCATAAAGTAAAAAATCTGTGAGCGGAGAGAAAATAAATGTGCCAACACCGGTACCAGAAGCTCCAATGCCCACAGCTAAGGTTCTATTCTTATCAAACCAAAATGCAATTGAAACGACCGCCGTCACATAGATTAAACCCAGGCCCAAACCAGCTAGAGTTCCAAAAGTCAGATACATCAACCCGATCGAGTAGCACTTGGAGCTGATGATAAAGCCAATAGCTGAAATGATTCCGCCTACTATGGTCATGGTTCTGCAGCCATATTTATCTACCAAAGCGCTCATTATGGGACCAGTAAGTAAAGGCACTGCCATGAAAAGACTGCCGATCCAAGACGTGGAGCTTTTGGAAGCTTCGAATTCCTTTAGAAACTCTACGTAGAGAAGACCAAAAGAGAAACTTATACCATCAGCTACCATGGAAAGGATCAATGATGCGAAAACCACCACCCATCCCCATCCTCCATCAGGTATGTTCGGTTTATCATCGTCATCTGAACTTGAAGATGACGCTGAAGATACAGATCCGGTGTTAAATCGGACTTCGCTCACTCTATCATTGGTGTCAATAGGAACCATGCAACTATTGGGTGATTTAGCAGGGGTTGAGTCCAAAGAAGGCGCAACAGCTGACAAGGAAACTAAAGGAGCCAAGCTGTCGTTGTTATTCTGGTTCTGATGAGACTCCATTATGAAGATCAAAAACGATTAATAAAAATCTTACACTCGGAAAAACTGAGCGCAAACCAAAACGACAATTTCCGAAAAAAATTCAATTCAATTAATGGGAATTATATAACAGCTGAAATGTTGGTTAATGCTCATCCAGCGCTTGGACCAGCCCTGAAGATTGATTTTGGGATCTCTACCGAGTTGCGTGTTTGGTATTGAGGATAAAATGCGTTTGATCCCGTGACCTCTCATCAATTACCGGAAACTCGAAACGACTGGAACGGGAAACTATCCTCCGGCGAGGTTGGAGCTTTTCAGGCGATGCAGAAAAGGGAAAGTGTGAGCATCATATGTGGCTTCAAACCTGGAAGAAATGGAAACTTTGGTTAGATTTATTTAATTGATATCCCGTGCAATACATTTAACATAAAGGCCAAGGTGTTTACCGCAAAGTGAAGGCAATTACTTGGATGCTAGATAGTTTACTGAAAAGTTCCAATGAATTTATGTGTGAAAGATGGAAAGGTGAAAAATGTGAAAATGAAAAATGCACATTTGGTTATTAAACGGTGTTTGCTTGCCAAATCGTTCAAATAAAAAAAATATTTAAAAAACTATAAATTTTAATATCAAAAAATAATAAATTCTTCAATATAATTCAACAATGTAATAGTTAGTTATGTTCAAAATACGCTAACGTAATGAAATAATTAATAATTTGCGTCTCTGATAACTTTATAAATAAATAAGCTCTGTTTTGTTGAGGCGGATTCATTTTTTTACAAACTGCTTGTTGATAAGTTCGATTTAATTTATAATTTATAAATAAACACTGGGTATTTTTATGACTATTAACCGAACAAATTTGTTTTAATTTAAAACAAATTCAAATTAAGTGGTTTCCGGTTAAAATGGACAAATGGAGTCAAATGAAAGAATTATTCTAATTTCAGATCAATGATGAAAAATTTACAAATTTTCCACCATAAATAACAATGAATAAAGCAACTTACGGAACAACAAGTTGCTTAATATAAACTGACTACTTTTTTGGAGCAACTAGTTTATATTCCGCCAAGTTCACTTATACAAAGTGATTTTTATATTTAAAAATGTGTTTGTAATTTCGCAGGTATCATCGATATTGATTTTATTACTTGTGTCAAAATTAAAATAAACTTTATTAGTTCCAAAAGTTAATAAATTTTCTCTCACACAAAGTGCAAATTCCAATATATAAACAACCCATCTAACAATTCAATATTCTAACAACCAAAACACGCTCCTAACTAGAAAAACTTTTATAACACAAGTTAAACATTTCCAAAGTAAAATTCCATATCTAAATTTGCTTTGAGATTCTGGTAGAATCAAGCCATCAATGTAAAAAATCAAAAGTAAAAACACTCCATAAGAGTGACATAAGCCTTCTCAATTCGTTTGGAATTCTTCGAAAAAGTTGAAAATACATCACGAAAGAAAAAGCGTTTAAGAAGTTTACGAAAAAGCATTTCAGTATTTTTTGTAATACTTTTTTTTAATATCCAGAGTAAATTTCGAGTCAAATTTATTCAAAACTTTATATTGTTCCTGGAAAAACTATCTATGCTTTCATGAATCATCAATCTAACACACTATTTGTATGGAAAAACTTCAGATTTCGAGAATATTTTAAATTTCCTTCTAGGAGCAATCAATATTTCTTTCTTTAAGTGTATTATTGCTTTTGTTTCGTATATTATACCTGTAAAAGTATTACAGATATAATACACATTTGCACAGTACAGTGCAAAACACCTGAATTGGTCAAAGTATTATTTCATACTTACAGAAAAGAGAAGTTGATACGCACAGAATTTTTCAAAAGATGCAATGTTTAAAAAGCTTTTCCAACTGTAAAAGCCCTTATCTTAAGACTTTATTTGTACAGTTTATGATATTTAACTGCAATTTTCCCTATAGCTGTTGAGGTGAGAGATTATGTTACAAGATAAAAAAACAATGAAATTGAGGAAATATTTCAAAACCTTGGATAACATTTCTTCATTATTTATTACCTTCTTTTTAAGTGTTATTTTCCTATCCTGTCGGTGCTTCTGTTAGGAACTACACTAAATTGCCCTTATTAATACGAATTAATAACAAAACAGAAACAAAATTTACTTGTCATAAACATATCATCCTACGACATCGCAATATAATTTATAACTTTACATAAGCTTGTTAATAAATAACCCTGCACGACTGCTTTGAATATTCTGTAAGCTCCCATTGGACTGTACTGTATGTAGAATATTGTTCATAATTGTTAATTATTTAAGATTTTAAATATTTCTTTAATTTCTATCGGTCATTTTTTTAAATCTCCGCCAAATAAAGTCCGTTGGGTTAAAATAGGTACAATTGATGCAAAACATCTTGCAAAGTTAAATAAACTCATACGTTATGGCTTTGAAAGTAATTTGGAACGCTCGCAAGCTAATTTTAAGAAAAAAACCCGGTGCATACTGTTGCTGCGAAATTATGTGTTGTTGTGGTTTTAGGAAGAATAACATGCTTAAGTTACATCCTTCAAGTCAAATGAAAAACCACAACAAAACATTATATTGGAAAGTTGTGTGTAAGTCGGTGCCAATAAGCGATCGTGCGTCATCTAAAAAAAATCAGTAGACGTCGCGTTATTTATTTTGAAACTTTTGCCAAAGCTAATTAAAAAAATTGAGGCCGATGCCAAGGCGCTGTGTTAACTGGATTTTTATTTATAGCGATGTTTTAATTCAGCTTTTGATCATAAAATGTTACAGTTTTTTGAAAGTGCGCCACCATAGGTAGCGGTACTTACATCAAAAATACATACTCAAATAGACAACTTTGCTGGGTTCTCACACATCTATTACATTGATGCAAGTGGACTTGCATACACAACACAAGGTTCCAAAATACAACTAACCCAGTAATTTTTTTGAACCGCATTAACAACGCGCTATCTAATGATATTTGCCGTGAACAAAACAAACTTAATGAGGCATGGCTTCGGGCGCTCGCAAACTGAATAAGTACGGTCTTGTTTTGAGGAAAAACTATTTGGGTGGTAAGAACTGACCTTGTGAGTTACAATTTGCCGACAGAAAAATCAATGCATAGCACATCGGTGCTAGATTAGATAAAAACCTGCAGGTTGAAAGCTAAAAATAAAGTTACACCATAAATAACTTCTCTAATGGAAAATATGCGGAAATTTTCATTTCATGTTCGCAGACTAAGAGGCATCAAACTACGGGTGTAAATTTTTGATAATTAGGGAGTGATTTGTACTTTTTATATCTAAATAATGGGCTAAATAAAACAAATATTCTCATGTTTATTAGTGTTAACTTAGTGGTGCAATTCAGTTTTAAATTTGTTTTGTTTTTCAAATTCAACATAAATGTGTTTATGTTAACTTAGCAATTATCCACAAATTTCAAAAAATTTCCAATTCCAAATTTATTAAATGACAATGTTATTTCGCTTACTGAATCATTAAAAAAGTATTCCGTTCGTTTAGGGGGTTGGCAGATGTTTATACAGAAGTTCATTTTTTACTCTTGCAGCTGTTAGGCTGATACACACATAATTTTGATAAAAATGAATCACAATAATCAAGCATTAAGCACAAATTAATCGCTGAATTTTTTAGGTGCATTTGGTACAAGCGTACCACTCTACACCTAAGGAAAAAATCTCCTTAAAACGAATTAGTCATCAATTAAAATGGGAAGTATTTTGAATGGCTCGATCAACCCTGTTAGAGAGACACTGAGGGTTAAAATATTGTGCTTCCATTGCCTCAAACTTGGTACCAACTTTAAAACACGTTTGAAACTACCAAAATTATATTCTGATAATATCTGGTCAAAACGCTGCATCTGTATTTTGTATATTATACGGTTAACTGTGAGTTTAAATCGAGGGAAGTTTGATTTCCTTTCAAATATTTCATATAAAAACAACCAGGCTCTATCTCTGTGCATCTTGGTTTGATATTCCACTAGAGTTGAGAGATTATTTGAACAAAACAAGTATTTATTTACTGAATGATGCCATGAGGTTTCGTTTCATGATGCGGCCACCGCAATTGTCCGACTTAGTACTTCGGATTTTTATTTTGGAGGTCACATAAAACAATTGCCCATTAAGTCGCACAGCGGTTAGTCAGAATCCATATGGCTTCTGCTCATATAAAAAATAGTGCAGATCGGTTACTGCAGATGAATACGTATGCAGGCGTTTTCTTCTGAATATGATGTCCCGACATATTAGAAATGTTTTAGTAACTTTTATTTTATTTGAGTTTGGTCAGCTATTAGTAAATTAAATCTTTGAAGTGATCTAGCTTTGCACAAATTGAAGTAGGTATATACAGAGTGATTGAAACCTGGCGTCATTCTTCTTGATAAGTTTTCTGCAGTAGTTGCCCAGTTAGGCAGTACCTACATTTGCACAAATTTTGGATATGTGATAATTTGAATATATGAAAGAAAATCAGATAATTCATATATTAGTTCATTATAATCAGCCTAGCAAACCAAAGTTGTAACATTTGATAAATGTTATGTAATTTTTGTGACTGATTTTATGTAACGCTTTTACATAACATTGATGTAACATAAGAAGAACAGGAAAACAAATTTTTGGTGACAGCGATGTTATGTAACCCTGATGTAACATGGTTTACCAGATGAGTACCATCTGGTGTAATTCAAATTTCTATCGAATTCCACTTGGTTTCACGGACAACCCGTGGAGCCACACAAAAGAACCCTCCTATGAAAATGAGCCAGCTACGAGGCAGGCCAGGTCATTTTTCTTGGATACTTCTTCTACCAGACGCAAGTTTTGGTTCATTTGCATTTCGCTTGTGCATTGAGCATTGACTATTGTTTTAAAACATACTTAACAAGTAGAACTTTAGAGTCCGTCCACGATWTGAATATKTCAAGGTAAGTGAACAGATATATACATCTTTACCTATTTTCTACTGTTTGATCAGATTCTAAAAAYTACCATGTGATTTTATAGATTTGTCCAGTCAGCATCAACGCCGTATTTTAGCTAACACGAGTTCTTCAATACCCAATCCAAAGTKGGCTTGAACTTTACGTTGCATCAATTTCCGAGCCCCTTGTTGAAACCGATAAATCATTGTTCGTGGAACGACCAGAGAAATAACAGCTTCAAAATTGAAGAGCTAAATCGGAGCAAAGTTTTGATTGGTATGTATCCAATTGGTATATTGGTATGGTATTGGTATATATTGGTATATTGGTATGTTTATATGGTGAGATTTGTTATGGAGGATTTTGCATTTGAAGATTTAAATTCTGTTAATACATATTTTTTTTCTTACTTGCAGATACGTGAAACTTACTCCATGATACTACAGCATCATCTTATGTCGAAATTGCATTATCAGTGTAGTTTCGACTTAGTAGGCAGAGGTTGTATATAAAAAGTTAATGTTAAATCAAAATGTTGAACAGTTATTTCAATAAAGTTCCGTATTTACGCATTTTTAGAACAAATGGCTTAATAACGCGTATTAATCCTGAGGTCAGTCACACAGAACGTAAAAGTTTGTGAGTATTATGCAATTTATTTACAAATAAACTACAGAAAAAGTCACAAATTACGTAAATATTCTGTAATATTGAGTTGTAAAATACAAGTCACAACTGTTACGTAAATATTATGTAACATTGAGTTGTAACATATTAGTTGGCTTGAGGCAGACATAATGCACAGTTGGCGCATCAGTTTGTGATAAGATATTTACGTAAACTGTTACTTCCGTGTGACTTTGTTACATATTTATGTAAGTGTTACGAGTTTTGGTTTGCTGGGAGTATATTAGTTGACCTTATAACTTTGTAAAATGCAATTAGTTTCCTCTATTTTCCAATATTCCTCGATTTATTTTTCATTCCTTTGTATTTTGCTTGATACAGATCGTTAAAAAAATTGTGATCTCAAATAAATAGGAAAGCCCAAGTCAATTACTTATAAAAAATAAGATGCCAGTGAGCATAATTTTTTCCGGTAATTTCTTCTTCTCAAAGAACTGTTTTCCACACACAGAAATAATTCTTATTAAACAGTCGAGACTATTTATAATCGAAATAATTAGCGTATCTTTGGTGGATTATCCTAGCAAACAGTAACCATTCACATACGGATAATATTGTTGACCTTCCATCAAAGCTTACACTGTTGCACTATCTATAATTTAGATTTTTTTACGTAAGTATGTATGTAAGTATTACAAGTTAAGTAAAGCAAACGTGATTTTATGTATCGTTTTTTCCTCCTAAATAAAAAGCAGTGTGCTTTTTATTAATTAATTAATTAAATTAAATTTTATTAAAAATTAATCATTAATTTAAATAATTTAATTAACTCAGATAATTGCATCAATTGTAAATCTTCCTGTATATTTTGCTAACAATTACCAACAACTGACAACTTTTTATACGTTGATGACGATTTAAAGGTCAGCTAACAAGCACTTTCTATGCAAATTAGTAAGTAAGTCTTTCGCAGAAAATGCTTGGATTTTCTTCACAGACAAAAATGGAGGTTTTACGCGGCATAAAAGTACATCCTTTGTTATAAATATTAGGAATGCATCATGTGCTTTTAATGGTTCACCGCAAATAAGAAAAATGTTTAATGCCTATAAAATCAGGAGAATTAATTTGTATTTGTTTTTCCTAGAAAAACGAAACATACTGGTTTTAAGACTGGCAATCAATATGTAAATCTTATAGCCATTATAGAAATTGTGATCTAAAATGAATTAGGTGCTGTTCGTTAGAATTTTTTTACCTGAGTTGGGTGCAGAATCCTAGAATTAGTGGGAATTTGAAACCGTAAAGAGCCAAAACAAAACATTATTTCGTAATTTGAATAAAATAAAAGTGAAGTTGTTGGTTAGACGTTCTCACGTTCTTTAGCCACGTGGAAAATAGACCCACACGAAATCAATAGGGGAAGGATGAATCATTATTATACCAAGGTGTGTTACTCAGCTGAAGTCACACTGGTAAACTTTCAGAGTTGATTTTTTAAAAGAAAGCACCTTATCAACTAGAGGAGTTTTATTTGATGTACGTGATGTTTTTTAAAATTTATTTTAGGTTAAAATAAGTTTTTTCACTAAAATCCAACAAATATTAAAGATCTTAAAGAATATTCCATTCAGATCTACAAAAGAGGCTAAATATTATCCTGGGAGTTCCTGTGAGGGATTTAAAAGCTAATTGTATTCTCAGGACAACGTAGCGAAATTTTCAGTAATTTGTTTGAACGCCTACCCCTGAATGTCTAAATTTAGCTGCTGAAAATATCTTTATATTTATCTGAATTTAAATAGGCCAACTAAAAATACTTGGTAAATCCACAAACATTGATAAAAACAGTAACTTTGCGAAACTTATTAATTCCACGTGATTTCAAGGACCGTCTAAAATTAATTAAAAAAAATTCTTCACCTACCTTTAGAAAACCCTATCGATTTTCCGCAAAGAGAAATCAGCGTTCACAGTCGGAATATGATTATTGATCTAAATGCGGTGAAAATCGAATCAGTCTAGACTTTAAAGATCACGCCTTGGTTATGTGTGCTTTCGTCACTAAATTTACTCCTCAAAATACCACAGAAAATATTCCACAGCGATCTGAACGTCGGCCTAAAATTTTCTTGAAAACTACTGACTGAACAGCCGCCTTAAAAAATGCGAGTTACACTGTTACATCCCCTGGTTCCCCTGAAAGCTTCCACCATACATATTTACAACCTACTTACAGTGGTCTAGCATTGTGAATCAAATAGTCAAGTTAATTCTGTTAAATGGTGCGGAAAGAATGAGCTTAAAATTAAGGAGCTTTCGGCAAAGTTTAATATTTTTAGTTCAAATTTTTGGTATGCTATATTTTGCTTTAAATCTTTAATTTTATGATGGATTTGAAAGTATTTTTAATGTCTGAATTCTTCATTACGTATTTCTTGGCAATTCCTAAGTAATCCTTTATGAGTTCGCATACAGCTTTCATCAGAAGAAATTAGCTTGATCCGGCGCACAGTGTGAAAAAAAAATCTTGTTCGCAAACCTAATATTCCAAGATTGGGCCAACTGATTTGAATCAAATTTAGCGCGAGTAAACTTGACGTAATGTGGAATAAAGGAAAAATATAAGTAAGACCTAAAAATAATTTTCACAGCCGGCAAATTCATGAGGAAATAGGATAGTTTATACGTTTTGCTATAAAGTCGATGATAGCTTCATAGAAAGTGAAAATTTTTTGCGATACCAATGTTCGATAGGTATTTTAATCTGCTGAACTCAAATTTAAGCAAACAGTTCATGATGAAAAAGATTAAATTTAAAAAACCGTGATTTTTGGTCGTAAAATGACAAGTACTTTATTTTGTTGTTAAACTCATCAGTATTAATACACAACTTTTATTCCCAATCAAGTATTTATAAATAAAACTAATAAATATCAAATTCTTTTCCGATTCAATTGCGGAAAACCCCAGAAAAAAAATGAATTTTCTCAGTTTTCTATTCGGAAAAAAATTCACTAAAATTTAAATTACATATGCTAAATATTACTTTTTAAAATCTTATCGTCGTTAAACAATTGTTCGTAAAACGCTGAAATTTAAATGATAAAATGTCGAAATAACCGACTGCCATACGTTTTAAGAAAAGTCCACGGAATAATGCCTTGAATTTTTGTCGCATGTCTCAAAAGCACATTCACTTCCTGATATTTACGCACTTGAAATATGGCACTATTTGAGCCTTTGATGGTATTGTAAATACAAAAATTTTTTTTTCCTTATTTACAGATGAGGTTATCCCTTATTCACAGATGAAGTCTCATATTTTTTAACGTTCTTCAAGCGAAACGCTTTAGAGCTACGATTTCGAAGTTCGTATGCTTCATGGGCGAGTCTAAACGGCAAGATCAAATTCCTTCAAAACAAGAAAATGAAAAAAATCAGATTCTAAAGAGGGTCCCAGATGTTAAGCGAGCAAATATGCTTGCAGCCATCGAGATTTGTCTTGGCAAAATTAATTTATTTCTGAACGATTTAGACGATTGCCTAGTAAAATTAATCTAAATCTGCAATTTCAATTTACCTAGAATTTTATGATTTGCATGTAAATTGTGTTCTTTTTGTTTGCTTTGTAGTCTTTATTCATCTATTCACTGTATAGTATCGTTCCAAAGGAAACCTAACGAGAACTTCGCGGAAAGTTTCGATTTATTGCAAGTACGAATATATGAAAGTGAATTGGCAGACAATGGTTTTCTTGGTAATCCAAACAATGCCATTCGAAATGAATATTGGAACGATTATATTCATAAACACTTAATCTGTATATAGCTCATGTATTGGTTCGGTAATTGGTTAACAGTTTTATTTATAGCAGTTGATTGGCTTACATGGTAGATATCCATTAAATAGTAGTTTTACGTACATTGTCAATTATCTTTCGGTGCTCTAATATTTTTTAATGTTAAGACTTTACTAAGTGAACTTGATGCAAATTTAACTAAAGACAAAATACAAATACCCTAAGCATGATTAACTTTTGAATAAAATGGGGCAACAATCATAAAACGGAACAGAGGTTTTTCGGGACTATAAAACTTTTTCAGTTCTGTTTAAGAAAAAGAAAAGAGCGCCGTTTGACTGATAAAAAGAGTTGATGTTTTTAACCTCATAATAAATGAATAAATCTGATTTTCTGAACAAATATTTCACAGACTAAAAGGAGATATTGCTCTCATCTGCTAAAAAATGTTGCATTATTATTAATCAATAATAAAGCAACATTTTCCGCTAACCTTAAAGACTATAATAAATACACAGAGTTGAAGTGCTTTATTTGTATAAATTTTTCTTTGTCTTTGGATTTTTTGTACTTTTGTATGTTTTACTGTTTGTTACTGTATTCATGCATTTATAATTCGGTGATTGCATCTCTTTGCCAACCGTTCGACTAACTTTTTATATTCTGTACTTAAATACTATAGATATTAACAACCCATTCCAAAGTTGATCGAAATATTTGGCAATCAAGATGAATTCATAATTATTTACTTGTTGCAATTTAATGCCAACCGTTTTAGATCATATTTAATATTTTCCTCTTTAGGTTCTTCTTACTAGGACATCATTTGCCAGTTCCAAAGGTTTACGAAATTAGTCGTAATAAAATCTTGATTAGTTAGATATTGACCCTTCAAATAACATACCAAATTGTTTTATTTTGTACATTTTCCGAAACCTTACTACACTGCGTTATTACTGCCAGCTTCCATATCGCTGCTGAATCTGACATAACATCTTCCGTATTTTCTAAGTGGGTAAAACAAGTATCTCGTATAAGTATCAAGTTTCAAGTCGGTCGCGCACACATGGCTATGGAAATTTCCATCGCTTCATAAACAAGGCAACGGTATTTTACCAAAAAATCTTACTTATCTGCAAACGAAGGATGAATGTTACGTTTCTTCAATGATCAATTTATAAGCGGTAAATTTTTAAACGGATTCACATCAAACAGTTAAACGAAAGGTTTCTATGCACTCTCACTTAACAAGGCACTTTAATTAATGTTAGTTAATGGGGCACCTCACGCGTTTAAAAAATCCTCACTAATTTTCTTTCCTCCCGGAAGTTTTATTAGATTTTTTATTTGTTAATTAACAAAGTTTTTCCTTGGGAGTTTTTGTTCGCAGAAAAATAAAGAAATGGAAATTTTGAGCAAGACCAAAGCATCATGCTGCCTAATATTTTTTGCCCTTTTTTTGGTCGATATTGTTTGCTAAGTTTTCCAAATGAAAATTTGCTTTAACTCAGTCAGTTGAAAAATGGGCTAATTTCGAAATGTTTCCTGCAAAATTCGATCGGCTTATTGGAGGACTTTATGAGAAAAGTGACCACCAACGTTTTTGTTTGCATATAATGGGGCTTTTTTGGAAACTACGTTTTCTTCCAAACCATTCAAAAGGTGCGCTTAAAGAAATCTCCACTATATAACAATTAACCATCCAGACTTTGTATTTGCCACTCGAATTCTTCTTTTGGTACAATTTTCATTAATTTTCGGCGAAATTGATTGATGACGTAAAAACTTTTTGAAAATTCAGCTGATCAAAAATGTTCTCATTTTATTTTTTTTATTGAAATTGTTAGATACTTTTATTTAATTCGTTCGATCCTAAAGTTATTGGAAATTTACGTCCTTTGAAATAAGTTATTGATTCGGTACGCTGGTCGTCAAAATGTTGATTTTATTAATGATCTGTATGTAAACATATTTTCTTAGGACTTTTCTATGTCGCTTTTTTCCTCCACAGCGTAAGGTAAATTTTGTTGCAACTTGCGACTTTGCCTAGTAGCTAACCCACAAAAAAACAAACAAAAACACCACAAAAGCAATTAAATAAAATTAAAAAACCATTCAATCTCCGTATCCAATCGAATGTTTGTTTTTTGTTTAAGTAATATTAAAATCTGAGTTTTAGTACTTACACTGTGTTTTTGCACTTTGTTTAAAGTCGATACTGACAAAAAAATCAATTACTTACATTATTCATTTCATATAATTTTTGTTTCGTTCTCACACATCAACTGTTTGTTTAAATCAAAGATCAATACGTTGTTCATCATTTATTTAGAACAGAAATCTATCAGTTATTCACTAGGTGTAAATGCAGCATTAAAATGTGAAACTAAATGTGTATTTTGATTCTCTAAGTTTCCTCAAATAAATGCAGAAAAATATTTTCCTGCTTATTTTTTTCTTTACCCGTTTTTATCTACTGACTTTACTTTCTCCTATTGTGTATTAAGCAGTTACGTTTTATTTAAAACTGTGCGTATACATCGGTGCCTTAAACAAAACTCAGTAAATCTGAACTAATCATCTAAATTTTGAATTTATTTATCCCCGCGTAGATAGCTCTGAAAGCCCATTGCTGTTAGATAGAACATGCCTATAAAAGCCAACATCATCGCAAGAAATAGTAACACCAAAGGCACATAATGGCTCTGAGGATCATCTACTTCTTTCTCCACTGATCCTCGGCCAAACATTTTTCTGTTCCTAATGTATGGAATAATAGCAACAAAAATGCCAGACAGGATTATCCATATTGCTGCTTGGTAGAAGGTTTGCTCCCAACTTTGTGTTATATCATACAACAATCCTAGAAGAAACAATCTATGTTTTTTCGCATTTTCTTAAATAAACTTTAGCCTACCGGCATAAGGGGGACCAACGAGAGTTCCAATCCCTTGACAAAGTAACTGTAATCCATAGGCGATGGTAAATCGGTCTAGAGGCACCAGCTCCATAACAATGCCGGGAGTGAAAGTAAAATGACTGGCCAAGGAAAGGCCGAAAAGAGAGGACGAAACTTGGAGCATAAAGTAGTTTTTGATAAATAACATTTGTCCAGCTACAGATAAGCCACATACCACTAGGCAGATGGCGCATGTTTTCGTGATGTTCATCCATGGTCTGTCCCCAGCCCAGCCCAACACAATCTAAGAAAACAATCAATCGCATTAAAAATACAATAAAGCTAACACAAAACTTACCATGCCCAAAGTGTTGGATATGCCAATATTTGAAATAGTAAACGACGCTTGCTCGGTGGTGTATTCAAAATTGGTCATCAATGTTACCAAATAAAAATAAGGCACTATGAACCAAGTGAAGAGGATGATGGTGGATAATGAAAGTAAACAGAAATGCAGCTCTAGAAATAAGGAAAAATCGAACATGCCTTTAACAAGATCGACTAGCTCAGAGTACCAGACCTGCAACGAGATAAATTTTCATGTACAAAAAACGATTTGCAAATTAACTTTTCCGTACTTCTTTGCTATCTTTTCTTGGCAAGGACACCATAGATACCCTATAGATATTGGGACAGCTTGAAGCTTTGAATCTGTATTTACTAGTATTGAACAAAGCCCCTCTGTGAGCCAAAGAATGAGTGTCCAATTTTAGATTCTTAAAATAGCTTTCGTGGTAGGATTTGGTATGCCCTATTGGTGTCTCGTGGGCTTCTTCAGGTTTATGCTTAGTCCAGTGGGCCTAAAATTTCAATTGTTTTAGCTATCGCAGCCCCGGAGGAGGCAATAATTTCACACTTACTTTCTGTATAGACGGGGCTCTGACAAGGTCGCCTTGGTTATGGCTAGGTGTGTCCTCTGATTTCTTTTTAGGCACAACCAAACTGGAGTAGTGATGCAAAATGACGTCTAGAGCATTCTTATTTGTGGTGAGCAGCTGTAGTACCTCAACTGGAACCTGTTAATTATAGATTTTTTAGTGTTTGCTTCCATCATAAGGAAGAGCGACACACTATTTTCCAAACTTAAAGAATCAATCAATTGATGTGTTTTGAAGTAGGTACTACTGTTTTAAATAGCATCACAATACAAAGAGGATTAAAGATTGAGAAGTAGTGCCCATAATCAAATTATTAAATGGCAAATAGAAAGTTACCTACTTTTTAAATGCCCAAGAGGTGGGTGACTGAAACTAGGACTTGTGCCTACAACATTTTTCCCAACAATGAATTGAGTGATGAAATTAAGATTTTCCTAGTTTTATGCATTTGTGAGACCCGATGCATTGTTTAAACTTCTACCTACGTCATATGGATATCCTCAGTATTAAATAAAGCTGTTTTGCGTACTGAAACTTACCGTTTCATGCTTTTTAATAAAAGTTGGAAGATTTACAGCTGAAAAGTAATTTTTCAAAGTATCTTTATCTCGGCCGTCAAGCGACTCTTCTAAATCGTTCAAGAGCAACTTCACGTCTTTTTCACTAGTGAGAAAAGCCTTTAGCTCTTCCAAGTTGATTGAATTTTCCAGACTATCTTTGCTTGACTTTGTAGACTTGGATAGTTTGGATTTTGCCTCGAGCCTTAAACAGGCCTATTGTATTGATGAAGGTAAAAACAAGTAACTCAAACTTACCTATCCTGCTCAATAATCCAATCAGGATCCCTCATCAAAGTTCCACATACACACATGTTCAAGAAACATCCTCCCAAAATAAGCGTGGTTCCTCTCCATCCAAATTCCATAATCAAGTAAGTCGTTAGAGGGGAAAATATGAAGGTGCCGATACCAATTCCGGAAGATCCGATACCCACAGCCAAGGTTCTTCTTTTCTCGAACCAGAAAGCCACAGAAACAACTACAGTTACGTAGATAAGGCCAAGCCCTAAACCGGCTAACATGCCAAAGGTCAAATACATGAGATTCAAAGAGTAGCATTTGGAGCTTAAAATGAAACCTGACGCGGAAATTATGCCTCCTACTATAGTCATTGATCTGCAACCGAATTTGTCTACCAAGGCGCTCATTATTGGGCCTGATAAAAGAGGTACTGCCATGAAAAGACTGCCAATCCATGAAGTGGCGCTGTTTGAGGCTTCAAACTCCTTGAGGAATTCTACGTATAAAAGACCGAAGGAGAACGTTACCCCATCTGCTATCATACAAAGGAGGAATGTGGCAAATACTACCACCCAGCCCCATCCTCCATCTGGTATCTTTGAATCTGGCTTGCCTTCTTCCGCTCTTGCCTCAGGTGTTGCTTGCAGTTTTGATTCTAAGCTGCACATGAACTGATTTTCTTCAGATTTTGGTGCTAGTGAATCTGTGGATGGGGCCACTATAGGCAAACGAATCAAAGGAGCTTCAACACTCCAACGGTTAGCGTTGTTTGCAGTTGTCATTATTGCTGACTTCTTTGTCTGCTGAAGTTTTACGTCGACATTCAGTAGTAAGAGGTGAAGCTAAAAATGTGCATCCAACGTTTTGACCAACCCTGTAGGCTTAATCTGGGATTCCGACTTAATTTCTTATTTGGTGTGACGCAAAAGATCTCTCTTATTTTTTTCCCTTTCATACGGACTGTGTAGGGTCACTATGAGCAAAGATGATCTTTATTGAAGTTCTCTGGATTTTTACACACAATAGCGGATTGGAAGGTGCATTATACAGGAAAGCTAAAAAAAAACATTCAAGTTTTAGTTCATTGACCAGTGAAATAAAAGTTGTCCTTAAATAGCTAGTGTTTAATTTAATGAATTTTGCCGAACATTTTAAAAATAAGATCAAATTTATAGAGAGTTTGTAATACATTTTAAATCTTAGCAAAAAGTAAGCTCTTGGAAAGTAGCAATGTAATGCCAGATTTGAAGCTAGAAATGGTTGTGTTGTGTAGAAAACTGTAAATATTTATTTTAATATTTAATAAAGAAGAAATTTTTCATACAATTATGCAAATAGACCTGATTGGGAAATAGGTAGTAAATTTCGGAATTTTAAAAGTCGCTTTTTAATTTTTGGCAATTATTCGCTCAATATTTTACTGTTGATATTGTTTTAATTTTATATCGCTTCGTGAGCTACATTTGAATCAACAAATTGATAAGATTGAATATTGATAAAAGCAACAAAGTTAATAAAGAAGAATCTCGACACATTCTCTCTCTTTCACACAGTTAATTGTTAATATTTTGATTAAAAGCTTAAATTATAGATTAACGCACAACAAATAAATTGCAATAAATATCTTATTTATATTTAAGCTTGATATTTTCGGCACAATGATTTCAAGTTTTTTAGTCTCTCTTCGCTAGCAGTTTCGGTTGCATCCAGATCGCATGTATACCTACTTTCTTCAGCTTTTAGGTTTGTTAATGATAATGTTGTTTTCGTGAAATGAATATTAACTGGCATTTCGGAAGCGCTTTACGATGTTTGAAGTGATATTTTACTATACATTCAATAGCTACTCTTGAATACATGTTTTTCAAATTCATCAGAGCATCTAAACTAAAGGGCATCAAATTGAACATCTAAATTAATTGGCAAAAAGGAAAATATTCATAGGTCAGATACTATCTTTGACTTCTCTTCAGTTGTTAATCACCTTGTTTATTAGGCGGGAGTTTAATTGATATTTAATGTAGATTTAATTAACAGAAGCAATCACATTTCAGTAATAATGCTTTAAAAATATTCCATTGAATTCTGATATATTTAGAATCAGGAGAAAGTTTTTTGCTTTTGAAGATGTTAAGGTTTGGATGTTTGAAAGTTTTGTGTACTATTCTTAAGAAAAATCGTTTATTTGTGAAATTTTTTAGTGTTTCCACTGTTCAAACATTGCAAAATGCAGCAATTTTATCCAGCTTCAGACTTATAAAATTTGAATGACCACTGTTGAAGTTTCGTTCAGAAAATTTGTTAATTTGTCTTCTTCTTCCCATTGAAGTGAACTATTAAAATCGGTCTTTCTTATTCTTGTATTTTCACCGGTACACTTTTCATAGAAACATTTACAAATTTAGTTCAAGACGGGATTTTTCAAAGGTCTGTATTAATAATCTTAGTAGCTGATTCTCAAATGTAGACGAAATTAATCCGAACGATCCGAACAATGCAATTGAAGGTTTATTTCTTTCTAAATTTAGTTTTAATGCTTATAATGCAATCAGTTCTGAAAAATTGCTACTATTCTGGGGGAGTTGGCGGGTGTAAATTAATTACTGTATTATTTATTGACTAAAAAACTGACGTAATATCTTTCAAAAGTTACTAATGCTCTACAATTTTAAACGAACGTTAAACTATCTAAGTTACATTGTTCAGATGTGAATTTTTTGAACCATGCGATATAGATATGAACCATAAGCGCGTGAGTGCATCCATGGGACACGGACACGCCTTCATATGTTGTAAAATTCCATTAAACAAATTGAAATTTTGCACGTTTATACCTTCCGACAATTCAGCTTTTAAAATATCGTATTGTATAAAAGATCATAGGGTTATTATATACCTATTTATAAAGCAGCATCTAATGCGATTATATATTTTTTCCGTTATGAACAATCGGAACTGCAAGTATTTAAGAAAACCCTATTTACCTAGTCGCAAATAGCGATACTAGAATTTGATACTTACACCAATTAAAAATATGTTGTTACCGACACTGATTAATTTAACAAAAATACGCGTCAGATAATTGCCATCAACCGCGTTTTAGTCAGTTCCCCATAGACTAAATTGAAAACATTGCATCAGACAATTTTATATATGAGACGGCAAATTTACACATTTTATCATAAGCTCAGTGCTTAATTTACTGCATACGAGCAATACGAATTGTCTTTTTACTGTTACTTAATAATATTATTGCAAATCCGATAACCATTGAATTTTCTGCATAATCATTTCTTGGAATATTGTTAATTAAGTAACAGTTATATCGGAATTTACCACTTTGTAATTGAATTAAAACATTTTAGTATCAGTTATTAATATCAGTCATTGTAAACATTGGATTGTATTGTCCGGACCAATTTAATATTTTATAACTTCACTATAGGTTCACTCACCCTTAGAAAATCACATTTTTTAAATGCTGAAACCCTATCTGTTTGTTATAATTAACTTTTTCATATCTATAGAATTGGCATACGATAAATTGTTTCAATTTTGTCGAACATATAAAGTTACATTGGGAATAGTACTCTAATAAAATAAAATGGTTTTCAACATATTTTTAGTTCGTCAAAAAGCACGTACTTGCATTAAACAGGACGACCACAGGCAGTCAAATGTAATACGAAATATTTAAAAAAAATCAGAATTAATTGTTCCCTCACATAAAATTTTTTCAAATTTAAAACAGGAATTCAAAATAGAATGAAACGGAAGAATGAGACTCAAGCTTTCACTACTTGAGTTTATTAGTAGTTTCAAAGACTCAAATTAGTATATGAAAAAAAATGTTTTTCACAAATCTATAGCTATTACTCCAAGTGCTTATCAGCTCCAAAAATGTTTTTCAAAACATATACTTGTGTAAACAACCTTTAAAATAAATATAAATCAATTGAATCAAATACATTTTAACTAATACTAATTTAAATATTCAGTCTCACTTGAATCGATGCACAAACTAAATATAATGAAAATTAGAAAAGTCAGCTGTGGTTGAACAAGTTTTTCAATTTTCGCCAAATTTCTTCTCGCAAAAAAAACGCCCAATGTTTGTGCTAAAACTAATGATTGATGGAAAGCAGCATTTACTTGCTTGAGATCAACTGCTTAAATATGCTCGAAACCAGAGTCGATATGAATCGATACGACAGCAAATAAACTCAGATATAAAAATCTAGAAGTGTAGGTACTCACCTTTCTCGGTCGGTAAATAAAAGTAAACTATAATCACCTTAATAATTAGAATGTTCTGAGTGTCTAAAATTAGATCGGATCGGATCGTTTAGTAAACGACATGGAATTATCGAAAATGCCTGAAAAATGTGTTTCAAAAGTGGGGTCCCCTTGCTGCCTGAACTTAGATTTTACCTCGAATACAGTGGCTTGAAATCGTTTTCATCGGTGGACAAAAGATCAAAAGTCATTTTACTACTCTTAACAATGCATAAATCGAAAGAGATAGCCTTTCGAGGCCATTCCTTGAAACTAATGGGTTTTTAGGGTTTTTAGGCCGACGTTCGGTCCAATTTCTTCTTCATCAGAACAGTGTAAGCCAGACAAGGGATTATTTCTTGTCTCTGGTGTAAGCGTTCAAGCAAACCACTTCTGAAGATGCAAGCCACTCGTGCTTGCAAAACGTTTGCAAAATGTTTGCTGTTGTTGTTAAATGTTGTTAAAAATCTGGTATCCTAATTCAGTAAACTGACAAAATATATCAAGATGTTATTAACCTGCACAATGCAATTAATTAAAAAACAAATTAGGTTTGCAATAAAACGTTAGAGAAATTACTGAAAGCAACGTAGATACATAATATACTAAATTATCAAACTACTACGCAAACCAAATTCTACTGTTAAAACTCTCCTAATCGAATGTAAAAAAGCTTTTAAATAAAGATAACGCTGAAAGGCACCAACAATTTTTTAAAAATTCTGGATTTTAAGTACGAAAACTTATATTTTTAAACAATAACTATTTTCAGGCAGGTCAATGTGTTGAGTACTTTAGGTACTGTACTGCCAGTAGGTACTTGTCGTATGTCGTAATCGTTGACTTCTAATCTTTAAATTATTTTAGCATTTCCAAAGCTAAAAAAAGACTAAACTAACTCTTAAACGCATTTCATTAGCTTGAACTTTTCATCAGGCCATCGTTTTTGTTGTTTTCTTGCAGGATAGCGGAGTTTTGAATTTTATCATCCTTCGAAATAAAACTCCAGCATTATCATCTTAAGCGCAGTTTTTTTCAGGTTTTTCTAATCTTTCTAATAATTCTTTAATCTGACATTTGAAATAATTTTGGAGGTGTGGAAAATTTTTCTATTTTTATAGTTCTTTGTTATGACTGTTTTTCATAACTAAATAACTAATCAGCCAATCCGTGTTCCATGATAGCAATTCTAACAGCGTCTACTTCCAACTGTATAATAATTAAGTCTCCATTCATCAGGCAATCAAACGCTGTTGACAAATCCGAAAGCAGATCCCTTCAACATTGCTTCCTTTTTTCTTCTTGATCAGAAGAGGTTTACAAATATGAAATTTAACGCCATTGCAAATTTTTGAAAAACCGGGTGAAACGCTTCTTGGTTTTTTGAGGTTTTGCTATGTCCTATTTTACCTACAGGTTAATTAGTGCCGTTTTTGCATAATTAGTGTATGCTCGATTTTTTCAAATCTAATTAAATATATAAGTAGGTAAATTATGCTTTCAAAAGCGTTTATTAAAAACATTTAGGTAAATGTATTTACTACATTGAAAATTTTTCGAAATCGAGTTGAGAGATTTGTCTTCAATAACAATATTTCATGTAGCTTCTCATATTGCATTCTCAAAAATTTTTATTGTTGCCAAGAGCTTCATATCCATTTGTCGGTTCTTTTAATGTCGGCAAGAATATATTTTACACTGTATCGATTACTAAATTTTGGTTTCTAATGGAAAAATGTTTCAACTTTTTAAAATTAATGCAACTGTGTAGCACAGTATTATAATATAAGGCATAACAGGAAAAATAATACGTAGAGCTAATTTCTAACTTTATTCTAATTACAATTACAAAATCTATAAACAAAATGAAAAAATAACTTTCGATTCTAAACTATAAATTGAATTCTTAATGGGCTGCCGAAAAACGTCGAACGCATTTGAGTGCCCTCTATAGTTTAAAGCCAGCTAAAGTAAATGCATTATTTAAAAGAGATCAAAGGCCATACGAATGTCGATAAAATATTTCCCAACATTCTGAATATAATGTTGCTCAATTAGGGTGTAGTTATCTTTTTCTCATGCTTCGTAAATATACACCGAGTCATCATCACTTTTGAAGAAAATAATCTTCAATCACGTCTTTTTGGATTGTGCGTTGTGAATTCGTTCCGCAAAAGAATCATGTTGGATTTTTTAGTTACTTTAACGTTGTTTAACACGACTGTGCTGTTTATACCGGTTTTATGTATCAGTTATCTTGGTATGTATCATTTTTTATTTCTTCGTACTAAAGCTTAAGCGTCACCAACTTCATCGCAGCTTAAAAATAAAATGCTAAATATAAACTCTTGGATTATATAACTTGTCGCATTGAAAAAATGGACGACTTTTACTTTTTAAAGGCGTCTTTCCAATACTGTATTTATAATGTTCAACATTTCAGTTTGGCGAATTTGTGATATTTTAATTATTTTTTTTAGGTGCCAAGAAACTTTCTATTTGTATAATTTTTATCGGACTTCGTTTTTTGTTCCACTTTCAAAAGTTAGTTACAGATTAGCAATTGCATATTGAAAATGTTTCCTACAAATCAACTAATAAAATTTACGCAAATATGAGAAAATGTTTTGCAACGTAAAAGTTAGTACAGTAAGTTTAAGAAGAAAATGAGAAACACCAATGGCTATAATTTTTTTGAAAGAACGGCTGAAGAAAACGAAAAGTTTGTAGGTCTAGCACAATAACACAACATTAACAACTATAATCCTAAAAATTAAACGCTTATAAGTGTTATGTTATTCCGAATATTTCTACATAAAAAAAATGGTGTGCGTCTCGGGACGCTCGACAGAAGTGATAACTTCATATATTTATAGAAACCATAAAATATTGAACTTGTTTAACGCATGATGGCAATAATAAT